TGAGAGTGGCCAACGAGCCTCGGCTAAATCCGCTGGGCCTGGCAGGATGGCTCCGGAAGTCTCACTATCCGTACAGAAGCCCTTCTCACTCCCACCCTCAGCCACTGCCATTCCCCAGCAGAAACCTCCAGGAGGGCGACACATTCCTTTCCCCAAGGCTGGTCCTGTCTAAGGCTCTACAGACTCCGCAACTCACTCCTCTGCAGAGTCAGACCCACATCCAACCTCGCAGTGCTCTGTTAGGAGTGTGGCATCTGGTAGCCGACTGAGGGCTTCTGTCACTGCCATGCTGTGAGGGCTTCTGTCACTGCCATGCTGTGAACATCCCTTCCACACGGGGGTCGTGGCCTGTCTTGGCCCAGATAGTCACATAGCCCTGAACAAGGCTTAACACTGTCTAGCCAAGAATATGGCTTTTCAAATGAACGAGGCCACGTGACCTTGATCAACTTACTTTTCCCCTCCGGGCCTATATCCTCACCTAGAAATGGTGATACATGCCTATCACCCAGGTTGTTTTGAGGACAGGGAACACATTCCTGAAAATGCCTGGCCACGGTCTGGCACATAGAACCTTCATGTTCCTTCTCTTCCAATCAGCCAGCACCCTGCCCTTCCACACCCTGCTCGCCTCCTCCAGAGAGCCTCCCCTGATGGATGGGCTCCCGTCCAGGCATCTGGCCCAGGAACACTTCCTCCCCCAGCTTGTCTCGCGATCAGATGACATTTCTGGAAAATATGGATTCATGTTTGTTTACCTTTTCTTACGCCCGCATCCTGGGACAAAGGTAAGAACCCGCTTCTGCGGGTCCCCCCTCACTAATCCTCAGCACCACGCGTATGTGAGGAGTAACCAAGAGAGTTAGTTGTTTTCCAAACATGGATCGGGATGCACTTAGCTAATGCCACGTCCTCAGCATCACAACCACAGAACCCTGCCCCTGTCTGGACCACGTGCACAGCTCACAAAGCACTTGCACGTCTGTTATCTAGCTGGGTCCCTGAAACAGCCCTGGAAAGTTTATTATCTCTATTTTGCAGATAAGGAAACTGAGGCTTGCGGGGGTAGTTAATAACCTGCCTGTGTCTCCCAGTCTCATGGCCCGAGGGGGGCAGACGAAAGGCAGCAGAGTTGTCCAAACAGGCCTCAGAGCTCATTCCCTCCGGACTATGTCCTAGAGCAGCGGTCGCCAACAGGTGATCCGCAGACCGCTGGTGGTCCCGGAGGTCTGAAAGGTTGGCAACCGCTATCCTAGATCACAGGTGATTAAACTTATAAAAATTATAATAGCTGTCGAAACCGGCTTGGCTCAGTGGATAGAGCGTCGGCCTACGGACTGAAGGGTCCCAGGTTCGATTCCAGTCAAGGGCATGTACCTTGGTTATGGGCACATCCCTGAGGTGTGTGTGTGTGTGTGTGTGTGTGTGTGTGTAGGAGGCAGCTGATCGATGTTTCTCTCTCATCGATGTTTCTAACTCTCTATCCCTCTCCCTTCCTCTCTGTAAAAAATCAATAAAATAGCCGGGACCGGTTTGGCTCAATGGATAGAGCATCGGCTTGGGGACTGAAGGGTCCTGGGTTCAATTCCGGTCAAGGGCATGTACCTTGGTCGCGGGCATATCCCCAGTGGGGGGTGTGCAAGAGGCAGCTGATCGATGACTCTCTCTCATCGATGTTTCTAACTCTCTATCTCTCTCCCTTCCTCTCTGTAAAAAATCAATAAAATATATTTTTTTAAATCAATAAAATATATTTTAAAAATTATAATAGCAATCCCTTGCATTTTTATGGTGACTTCACTTTTATATAATCTTCATAGCGTCTCTTGGGAGAATCTTGGAGAGACAAAAAGGTCACAGACCCATCAAGGCTAATGTCCCCTCTCTTTCCTGTGGCAGCAGTGGAATCGGTGGGGACACAGAGAAGTTGCCCGTCACGGGACTTGCTAGCAGCTGAGCCAGAACTGGAACGCTCATTTCCTGACTCTGATGCTCTTCCCACTCTGTCACGTTCCCTCACTTCTCTCTGGGCCTTTCCCCATCTGTAGAATGGGTTGGGTGAGAAGATCTTTAAGCCTTAACCACTGGTCCATGTCCTTGGGAGTGTTATGCAAACAGTACCAGTTTGGGAGACAGATGAGTTGAGTTCAAATCCCAGATTAGGCTGGCAATTTTCAGCCTTGTTCATCTCATGGTACACAAACTAATTACTAAAATTCTGCGGCACACCAAAAAGTATATTATAGGTTTTGCTGATCGGACAAAACATTAAGTATAATTCTGACTCATTCACATGAGACGACTATTGAATTGGCTGTTTGTGTGTGTGAAAGAGAGAGAGAGAGAGAGAGAGAGAGAGAGAGAGAGAGAGAGAGAATTTAATATTTCTATTGATTTTTAAAGAGAGAGCGTCGATGAGAGAGAGACATCGATCAGCTGCCTCCCGCACCGCCCCCACTGGGGATATGCCCGCGACCAATGTACATGCCCCTGACTGGAATCAAACCTGGGACCTTACAGTCCGCAGACCGACGCTCTCTCCACTGAGCCAAACCGGTTTCGGCAATAAAAACATATTTTTAAAAAAATTAAAGAGAGAGCAAGGAGTGGGAGAAAGAAACACTGATGTGAGAGCCATGTCCACCCTCCCCTCACCACAAGGAGCTCGCAACTCAGGCATCTGCCCCAGGGCTCCCCCAGGAATAGAACCCCACCCCCCACCTCTCCGACTGACCAGGAGACCAGGAGTAGAACCAGCAACCCGTCTGTGCACAGGACAGCACCCAACCAACCCCAATAGAGCCACACCGGCCAGGGCTGTTGTCATTTTTTTATTTGACAGTCTAAGGGAAAAGAGGTCAGTGCTCTGACTACACAGTCAGGTATTATTGCATGTTTTTAAAAACTCTTGCGACACACAGGTTGAAAAATCACTGGGTCAAGCAAATCACGCACTCACTGTCCCTGAGCCTCAATTTTTTTCATCTGCAAATGGGTTCAAATGAGATCATGGCTATAGGCCTCCTGGCACATTCAGAATAATCAATAAATGTCAGATTTCCTCTCTTTCCTTTAGAAATGTGTGCAGGCCAGTGAGGGAAGTAAGAGGATTCTGGAAGACAGGTGCTCAAAACTTGACTGCAAACCCAGTGTGTCCATTTCACAGGAGAGGACTCAGAGTAAGAGAGCCAAGACCTGCATCTCTGGGTCCCTGGTTGAAAGAAAGCAATAAGGGAGATAATGTCTCTCCCAGCAGAAGCCAAGCTCCCAGGAATTTTCTGTGTATCCCTCCTCCTCCTCTCCTTTTGGATATTTCCCCCCCAGAAAGAGTTAAGCCTTCTTTGGGTTTCCCCTTCCGGACCAGCAGTGCCAGAGGAGATTAGAGAGATCAGATTTATTTCTCTTCATAAACAGACAAGAAGGAGAGCCAGGCAGGTGGCAAGGAAACAATTGGAATAATGGGAGGCTGGAGCAAAAAGGAGCAGGACTTCCACCAGTGGTACCTGGGGCCACCCCCAGACCTGCGGACACAACAGCCGGGGGCAGGAGAGGCGTTTCCTGCACGTGGGCTCACATCGGGCTGACCTGCTGCCAAAACACCGGGCAGGGGGAGGCCTGGCCTCTGACCCAGTGACCTCTAACCCAGGCCGTTGGAGGAGGGACCTACAGGTCAGCTTTCCCAACTTTTGCCTCTAGGCTGGGCTCCCTGAAAAGGGTCCCATCTCCAACCCTAACAATCTGACCACAGTCCATCCTGTTGCACTTCTGATCCAGGACTCTTGAGTGAGGCAGGGATGACTTCGGATGGAATCCCAGTGGGGCAGGCCTGGGACAAACCCCAGGTCCTGTTGAGACTGCAGAGCGCACACACACCCCAAACCCTCCCTCAGAACCCAGCCCAGCCACCCTAGCCCCAGCACCCTGACTTCTGTTTGTGGCTGCGCTGCAGGGGAGAAGGGCCCTCGTCCAAAAGGAAGATCAGGCCGGATGCAAGCACACAAGAGGCTTTTCACCCTCTTCCTGATCCCGAACGCGTCCTTCAGTTCTCCTCCGGGGCGATGGTTAAAGGACACTGGGAGAGTAAACACCGGCAAATGGGATGGGCCGCACACACCGCCATTTCCTCACCTCCCGGCGGGCGCAGCGGCCACGCCGGGGTGAAGGTAGACTTCCCAGCATGGCCAGCCCCAAGGGAGCCCCACCCTCTTACGGAGACTCATGTCCTCTCCCTCACACGAGGGACAAATGGGGGAAGAGCCAAGCAAGTGGACAACAGAAAAGTGACCCCCTTCCCCCCCCCCCGCTGGGATGGGGCAGGCCGGAGGGAGCCCAGAGGCAGGACTTGGTGCCCACCCAGCCCAGGGGCAGCCTCTCTGTCGGTGAACTTGGGCCACAGTTTCCCTGGTCTGTAAGAGCACATCGGACAGCTCACCACCCGGAAGGTCAATGTGTGTGGTTTGGCACAGGTGAGCGGTGAGAGGGCCCAGGTGGGAAAAGCTAACACTGTTGGCTTTTAAGAACCCACATAAAGCATAGGCTCCGTGATGGGTCCCTCCGTGGGGCCGGGAACCCGCACCCGCCGAGCCCGCTGACACACTTTTTGGGTGTAGCTGATGTTCCAGACCCAGAGGGACCCCCCACGGAAGCCACAGGCCAGCGTCAATCTCTGACCCCCTGACTCAGCAGAGGGCAGGACCTGGGTGCGCCTGGGGGGTGCGGGGGGTGCCTCACCCCCAGGAGCGGACTGCCTGCACTTGGTGATTCAGCCGGGGACCCCGCCCCAGCAGAGGGTCCTCCCGGCGACCCCCCAACGCGGGGCAGGGCTGGGGACGGGAAATGCTGGGGCGGGGGGCCCAGAACGGGGCTGCCTGGGCTGAGCCCCGGGCCCTCCCTGCCCCGGCATCGACGCCTCCAGCAGCCCCGCGCCCCCCCCCCGCGGGGACCCCCCGGCTGCCACCCGGGCGCTGGCGGGCGCGCAGCCCCGGCGCCCGGCGCCTTACCTCGGCCTTTGCCCTTGGCCTTCCTGGCCTTGTCGTCCGCCTTCTTGGCCCGGGGGGCGGGCTCGGCGCCCTCGGCCCCCGCCGCCTTCTTCTTGCGCCGCTTGCCCCGCAGCCAGCTGAAGGCGCGGCGCAGGCCGGAGCGCGGCTTCCTGCGGCGCGGGGGGCTGCCGGGGCCGCCCGGCTCCTCGGCCGCAGGTGCGGCGGGGGGCGCGCGGGCCGCCATGGGGCGCGGGCGGGCGGTCAGGCCCCCGGCGGCCGGGCGCCCATGCGGCGCGGGGGCGCGGGCGGCGGGAGACGCGGAGAAAAGTTTGGGCGGCGAGGCCGGCGGCGCGGAGCGGGCGGCGGCGGGCGGGGCCGGCGGGCGGGGCGCGGGGACCGCCCGCGGGAAGGACCGGGAGGGAGCGGCCGCGGGGCCGGAGGCGCTGCCGGGCTCCTCCCCGCCGCCCCGCCGCGCGGTTCGGGTTCGAGGCCGGAGGAGGGCGAGGTCGGGCGGGAGGGGCGGCGGCGGAGCCCCCGGAGTCCGCGCGGACCCGGCCGGGACCGGAGGGCGGGGACGCGGGCGGGTCCGGGGGGCGGGTTCGGGGTTCCGTGCGGGCGCCGGGGCCCCGGAGGTGCCGGGGTCGCGGGAGGAAGGTCCCCCCCCGGGGGCCGGAGGGCGGAGGTGGCTCAGGGCAGCGAAGGGACGTGCCGGGCTGGACCTGGGAGGGCTGGGTGTCCGGGGTTTGGTCTGGAAGGGGCCGGGGGTTCTGGGGTTGTCCACCTGGAATAAGGGGATGCTAAGAATTCTGTCCAGGACCCCGATGTGAAGACTGGGGGTTCAGGAGCGCCCCAGGCCCGTGATGGACAGTGCGCAGACCTCTCTCCTGTGGCGATCCCTCTGCTCCTTCCCCACCCTCCCCACCCCTTCCCCAGCTTCCCACCATCCTCAGTGTGGAGCTGGCACCGTCTCCCTCCCGGTGAGGGCAGTTAGAGCAGTGCCTCAGTTTACCCTCAGGCTGTAAGACCCCAAGACCCCCCTGCCCGGCCGGCTCTGGGTTTCCCACTGAGATGCTCAGCACTGACGGGGGCCAATCTGGGCCTCCGTTCACTCAGGGGATAAAGGGCTTTGAGATCCTCTGCGGGTGAGAAGTGACCGGGGACGCCATAGGGAGGAAAGCCTTTCCCCACCATGAAAGGTGCCTGGCGGGCGTGGCTCAGGGGTTGAGCGTGGACCTATGGACCATGAGGTCATGGTTCAATTTGTGGTCCGGGCATACACCTGGCTGAGTGCTGTCTCCATTGTGGGGCGAGCAGGAGGCAGCCAATCGGGGATTCTCGCTCATTATTGACGTTTCTTTCTCTCTCTCCAACTCCCTTCCTCTCTGGATTAAAAAATATATCTTTTTTAAAAAATCATAAAAAGGCTGTGCCTCTAGCTCTTTATTATAGCTAACCAAGCTCTTCTATATCATTTAATCCCACAACAAGCAAGGAGGGAAGCAGGGCAGAGGGTGTTACCCCCATAAAACAGAAGGGAAACAGGCCGGGAGGGGACAATGCTTGCCAGAGAGCACAAAAGAGGTCGGAGCAGAGAAGACCAGCGATGCTGGTCTCATGGGGCCTGGTCCCAGGGGCTGGAGTTGCCCTGGGGCTTAGCCGTGGGTTCAGGGGCCTGGCGCTCCCTCTCTGGGTCCCGGAAGGACATCATCACTCCGCCTGCTAGAGTTTGTCTTCCTCGCCCAACTTGACCTGATCAGATAGCTTTCTCCTGGTCCTGGTCTCCAGGAGGGCCAAGGCCCATTCATGGGAGGCACCCAGGCAGTCAGTCCTGGTGCAATGTAAACAGCACCCACTATAATATTGTAGGGCGGTTAGAGTATAGGGGGTGACCTCCTTCACCTGCTTTAGCCCCCTGAGGGTCCCCAGGGGCTCAGCTGTGGCCAACCTGGGCCATTGCTGACACTCTCCCCACCTGGGGGGTGTAGGGCAACTCACTGCCTTTGCTGAGCCTCAGTTTCCCATCTAATTGCCATTCATTCTGACCCGACCCACAATCCCAGAGCACCGGAATCACGCTGGGCCCTGCCTGTGCTCTCTCCCAGCCCAACACTAGCCCCAAGGACCCTGCCTCTTGGGCTTACGGGCAGGGCTGAGACGTGGAAAGAGAGCTGGGTGCGGGTGTTGGCCTGTCAGACAGTCTGGATGCCTTGGGCAGGGAAGAGAGAGGAAGGCTCTTGGGAAGGGAGACCAGGAGAGGAATGTTGGTCAGTCTTGCTCCCACCAAGCCTTTCAGCACGCTCTTCCCAGGAGCCAGGATGCCTACATAGTCTGCAAAGCTCAATGCCAAATGAAAACGCAGGGCCTTTCGCTCAAAATTCGTTAAAAATGTCAAGAGGGCAAAACAGCACAGCGTGTAACCGAACATGAGCCATTCCAAATGCAGGACAATGCGTGACTCCACCCAGGAAGCTGCCCCTGCCAGCGACTCCTATAATTGTTCCCTGAAGGCTCCTCTCAAACCAGGATGCCCGGGAATTAACCCGCGGAGAGGGTCCCCTGACCTGGAAGTCAGGAGGGGAAGGTAGGTGGTGGCAAGGGGTCTGGGTTATATTCCCACTCAGACAGTCTCATCTCCCATTTCCAACCTGGACCGACTTCGGGCCGGCATCTCCTAGCATCCCTGTCCCCTGACCGAACAGAGCGTCTTCCTGTCCCCTGACCGAATGGACAGACATGCTTCTGAGAGTCCCGGAAAGAAGGGAAGGGCTACCTTGCAGCCCTGCTCTCTGGATTCCGGTGGCTCAGTGCATTTCTCTGCTGGCCCTACAAGCAGCTGAGGACATTGACTTCCCAGCATCCCCGGGGGCAGGGCCCAAAGTCCACGCTGGAGCCAGGCTGTCACCTGACCAGGGAGGAAGTGCAAGCCTGTCCCCAGGGTGGAAGCAGCACCAGCCAGGGTTGGGGAAGCAGCCCCCACACCACACCACCCTCTGGCTTTGCCCCCTCCATGTTTGGAAAACCCAGGACCACCCAGACATCGCCCTCGCACCCATCCAGCCTTCCCTCCCGCCCACCTTGGGAGCCCTCCCCCCACAAAGGCACAACAGCTCTGTCGCTTTGTCCCTTCCTGCGGCCTGTCCTCCTCCCACACACACTCCAGCCCGGACAGTCAGCAAGGTGTGGCCGGCCTCCCTCATTTTACAGGAACACCAGGGAGGGAGGGAGTCTGCAAACCACACTGGCAGGGCGGGAGCACCTGTGCTTCCCTCAGGCGTAGCCCAATTGGAGGGGCTGGGACTGGAGTGGAAAGCCGGGCAGTTCTGCAAAGTTGAAGATGTTGATAGATGAATAATATTCCTATTTCATGGACAAAAAAGCGTAAAGAGCTGAAACCGGTTTGGCTCAGTGAATAGAGCGTCAGCCTGCAGACTGAAGGGTCCCGGGTTCGATTCCCATCAAGGGCATGTACCTTGGTTTTGGGCACATCCCCAGTGGGGGGGGGGAGGTGCAGGAGGCAGCTGATTGATGTTTCTCTCTCGTCGATGTTTCTAGCTCTCTAGCTCTCTGTTCCTCTCCCTTCCTCTCTGTAAGAAATCAATATATATATATATTTTTTTAATAAAATAAAATAAAAGCCTAAAGAGAGGTGGGTGACTTGCCAGCCAGCCCAGAGGTGGGTTTTGAAAGTGCTTTGTGTTCGTGGCTGGTGCAATCAGGGGTGAGCTGAAACTAACCCCCAGCTTAGGAAATAGGGTTATTCCTCACATGGCTGACTGTGCCGAAAGCATGGGAACAACCAGGAAGGGGCCGAGGGAGGACATCGTGTGGTCTGCTCTGGCTTTGGGCTGTGAAAAAAATAAAAAATAAAAGTGATTTGTGTTCATGTGTGTTTGTGTCTATGTGTGTGATCAGGCACCTGCTTTGTGTCAGGCGCCCTCCCCAATCCACGCAAGCTGCTTTCAAAAGTTGCAGGTTAAGCTCAGGCCAGTTTGACTCAGAGCATCGGCCTGTGGACTGAAGGGTCGCAGGTTCGATTCCAGTTCAGCTAATCATGGCTGTGTCTCTCTCACTTAGATGTTTTTCTCCCTCCCCCGCTACTCCCCCCTTTTCACTCTCTCTCTCTAGCAATCAATGGAAAAAATGTCCTTGAATGAGAATTTTTTTTTTTAAAGAGTGGGCAGTTCCTGGAAAAGGGGAGTAGCTAGGGGAGAGGGAGAGGGCCATAGCTGGGCCTCCAGAAACCGCCGGAAATGTTCTGATTCATTTGGACGCACCTTCATGTGTTTATCTGGGGGAAAGGGTCAGAGCGTTAACCAATTTCTCCAAAGGGTCCTGTTTCAGAATGAAATATAAGAACCTACCATTTGACCCTATTTAACATATGTATGTTTTTCAATATGTTTTTATTGTTTTAGAAAGAAAGGAAGGGAGCGGGGGAAAGAAACATTGATCAACTGCCCCACACGCAGGCCCCACCCCGAAACCTGGGTATGTGCCCTGACCTGGAATTGACACTTGGGTGCACGGGACAACACTCAACCCACTGAGCCACACCGGCCAGGGCTACCAGTTGATTCTTTTTAGTGGGAGAAGAAGATAGAAAGGGGTCCTCGCTGGTTTGGCTCAGCGGATAGAGCGTCAACCTGTGGACCATGGGTTCAATTCTGGTCCAGGGCACATGCCTGGGCTGCGGGGCTCAATCCCCAGTGAGGGGCGTGCAGGATTCTCTCATCATGGATGTTTCTAGCTCTCCCTCTCCCTTCCTCTCCGAAAGGGGTTCCAGACATCTAATGCACCTTCTCCTCCTCCTCCCTAGCCCAAGGGTGAGGGGAGAAACCCGCAGGTCCCATCTCTACAGCGGGCATTCCTGTGCCTGACATCGGTGCAGTGTGTTAACATTTCAAACACCCGCCCTGCCCTGCGAGGTCTTCTTTGATCCTCCCAGCATCTCTTAGAATCAGGCCCCAAGCCCAGTTCCGCCCATTTCCCCTGCTGGGTTGAAAGGTGAAGATGTTAGCAGTGTGTGGCTGGATCCTTGGAGTGCTGCGGGCTCCCAGCTCTGAGCTGGTGCCAGCTCCTAGGAGGCTGAGGGAGGGAGGGTACCAGAGAGGAAGGGAGAGAGGTGGGAGAGCAGGGGGAGATAAGAGAGAGGAATAGTAGCTGTTGCCTCTACCCAGACTCCTGAGAGCAGCTCTGTGCTCCAGGCTCCGGATTGGCCAGGTCCTGGGGCCAGAGGGTCACTCT